ATTTCTAGGTGGTAACTGTTGTGAAAAATTTAGATGCTTTTAGAGGGATCAAAAGATAATGGATGGACATGGACAAAATGGGTTTGAAATAATATTAAACATTCTTTGTTTCAATAAAATGCAAACTTTGTTCAATTTACTGGATTATAGTGATAAGAGTGCACATATTGGAGTAGATGAGGAATTTTCTCATGGGGAGCTGATTTTGTCAAAAAAATGCTGATGTGATTCAGTTAAAATGCTCTGTGGGAATCCTGTCAAAACTCTTGATGGAATTGATAAACCCACTTTGGTGCCTGCCTGCCGGGCTGGAGCTGCCGGCTTCTGCCAAGCAGCCTGGGGGCTCAGCGGCTCCGGGGGCGGCTCCACACCAGGGCTCCTGCTCCCTGCGCTCCCAGGCTGTGGGGCTGCACGCCCTACCTCCGGCTGGGGCTGAGTAGGATGCTGTTCTGAAGCTCCTACTTGGGAGAGCCTGTCTGGTAGCTGGAAAAAAAGAATTTGTTTTGGTTTTTTCCCTTAAGATTGAGTTGCTCTTTAAATCACTGTCTTGGAGCTGGATTTTTCTTTAACTTTGCCATGATTTGGGTGTGAGAAGAGGATTAAAAAAGAGGCTTTAGAGAGGAATGCTTTGCAAGGTGAGATTTCTGCTTTACAGCAGGCGCTGGTAGGGACTTAACGAGGGGGCTGAAGGGCTACATGCACAGATGGTGATAGACCATACTGTACCAGTCTGGGAAAATGATTAATCAATATTACAGGGATTTATTCTAGTATTTAGTTCTTTTAATTTAGCCTTCTGTTTCTCTGCTCAGGAGTTCTGTAAGAGAATGTTCTAAATGTGATGCTGATTCAGGATCCTGCTGATTTTAAGAGAAATCAAAACAGTTCCCTAACTGTTTTTTAGCTGGATCTTGTTGCAAATGGCAGTGAAGAGAACAAATGTTCTGTCCGTGTTTCTAATTGCAAGTTGCGTAAATATGGCTCAGATTTTAATGAAGGGAACTTGGAGAAGTAATACTGAGGAACAGCGAATGATAAGTAAGCGAGATGCTTAATGCACATTTTTCACAGTCCTATTGTACTTGTGTAGCTGTAGGCAACCTTCATTTGATAATTCCCAAGTTTTGAGAGCTTGCCTTTCTGACCTTAATGATCTCTTAAAAGGAAGCCTGTAACTTCATAAATCTTGTTTTCAGCAGAATTAAAAAGAAAGGAAAAAAATTTGTAAATCACCTAAAGTGGCATTATTTACACCAGTGTAATTCATTAAGAATTGGAACTTTTCGGTTCCTGATGCAGACCTTTGCTTCATGAGGTACTGGAGAATGTTGTTGCCCTTTATGGAGGATCAGTGCTGGAGGAAGAAAATGTCTTCCAGTGAGCACAAGGCTCCTTCCCTCTTTCAAGAGGTCCATTTTGCAAGAAAGAGCAAAGTGATAAAAATGAACTTTCCAGCCCTAGAAGTAACATTCTCAAGATTTAGACCTTCCCTGATGTATAACTTAACTTAGATACTGTTACCAATATATGTAGAAGACTAACCCTAAGGACCAAGCAAATATGCTATAATGAGTCAAATATAATCACTGTTTTTTTCTAGGTTTCAAAGCACTCTTCGTCTCTTCTTTAGTGTTAGTCACCTTTCCACTGCGTGGCTTTTCCTCCTTGTCTTGTTCTGTTCCCTCACCCAGGTCTAGATTTTAATACCCTGGTTTCTTTTAGTACTCACTGCCTTGAAGTTTTCTGCCTGAGCTGGAACCTCTCCCCCCTCTATGCTCAGTTCTAATGCTTCGCTTAGACAGTCCCTTCCCCCTGGTGCTCCTTGCCCAAAATGAGCTGTCTTTTCTCCTAATGACAGCATGAAAGCTTTCCATTCAGGATGTGCTTCCATTGCCTCCCCAGCTGTTTCAACCAGTTCTGCCCTACATGGTGGTTCATCGTATCTTTGTTTTCTGCCCTCTGCCTCATTTAGCTCTTCAGTCTGTCTTCCCTTTGTCCTGCTTGGTTGTTTCCCACCAACCTGCTGATGGCGGTCCCCTCTCCCAGTATACACATGCTTTCCCTGGTCAGTTCTTAAGTTTGTCCTGCTTCTCTCCTCCCATTTCTCCTTCATGCCCAACCACTTTCCTGGCTCTCTTCGTTCCCCCTTTTTCCCCCCACAGTCTGTCTGTCACCCTCTCAGTATTTGAATTTCTTCTTCCGCTATGGATATCAGTGGTGGAGTAATGGAGGCTGCTGGAAGGGTAGACGTGAAGTGTCTGTGGGGGCTCTACCTCAATCCAGCGGGAGCTGGACTCACAGGACAGATAGCCTTGAGCCGAAGCTCGATCAGAGTGGCTCATGATTGGATGTGTGTGGGAGGTTGGAGCACACCTCTGAAATCCTCAGAGATTTTAGTCAAATTCTTAAAAATATTTGCTCTGTATTTGTAAGTATATATGTTGGATGCAGGGAGAACTTGCCACCTGACACTGAGGGGACAGACAGGTTCATTTAGGGATCCTTGGCAGCATGATGACGGCACTAAATCGTAGTTACAATTAAAGTTTTATTTTCTTAACATGATATTATGATTAGCAGAGCACAGAATTTATGATTAAAACGGCACAGGGTTTCTACAGGCAGAATCAGTATAGTACAATTTATAAGTAGCATAATACAGAATTTATAATATGACTTAATTTGTCATTTCTAATCACCTGAACCCTCTGCAGATCGGGTCAAATCTTAATACATGGTTTGCCGTATCAATATGACAATCATAATCTCAACTCTAAATTCATATAAAAGAATATGAGTCAGTCCCTCAATCCTGGGAGGAAGCAGAGGATGGCGGGGGCATCCCTGGCCACAACGGGCCCCGGTCTCGCAGTCCAGCAGCAGCTCCAGTCCAAGTTCCACTCTTAGGAGCTGTAACTGCTTGATCTCACAGACAGTGCTCTGGGTGCTGTTCTGCTTCCCTGTTCTGTGTCGGGGCCATCGTCACCACCTGGTGACACTGGGTGCCTAGGGCCTTCAAGGCCAGCAAGGAAGGGAGAATCGGCCTGGTGCCCGGGAACTGTGAGGGAGGGGAGGGAGAGATCTATTTGGTTTATCTACTTGGTTCACAGGACCTTCAGGGTCTGATAATGAGGGGAAAGAGAACAAATACGTGACCCACTCAGTCACAGAGAATGGCTGCTTGCCTCATAAAATGGTGTTATGCTAACCACACTGCCAGGGGTCGGGAGCAGGGGGGACCAGTCACAGAATGACCCCATCAACAGTTGGTTTCAGGGTGAACAATTAGTTTGGTAGAGACCTAAGCAACAGAGGGCTGAGTTTTACGATGGAAAGTTGTTGGCAATATTGACAATAATAGGTGTTCTGAGGCTCCCTCTTAATACCAGTGACAGGTATTAATAACAATTAAGGATTTTTTTGCTGGAGGAATGGCCTACAAGTGATTGAAAGAAGTGTTAAATTCTAGGATGGGAAGAAGTTACTTAGATTAGTAAAAAGATGCATTAAGAAGTAATGGAATGCGTAAAACAAAGTCACTGAAGGCTGAATATCAAGATGTAAAGCAGTACGCTATAGGATGTTTTTTCCAAGGAATTAGTAGAAATTCTCTTTTTTAAATGTTCACGTGTTGACCGATAAAATGCATAAATGTCCTGTAAGAAGCACTTTCATACTAATGGGAGGAAGATTGTGAAGCAAAATACTCCTTTAATTTGTCTCTTCTGAGAGAGCATATGTCTGAGTTCTAGAAATGCAATATATAGTGTAACCTCAAGTGGTGTTCACAAAGCTACTTGAAATAGACTGCTACTTTTCACTGTCATCCTTAAGTAGGACATAGGGCTCCTAAATACCCATGGAAATTTAAGTGCAAGGAGCAAAAACTAGGCTCTGATCCAAAGCCAGTTGAAGCTGATTAAGAGACTGCTTTTGGCTACCAAGGACTCTGGCTTAGGCCACTAGCAAGCTAGAATTCAGTCTCAGGTGTTCAGGCAGACTTTTTTGGTTAGTTAAGTCTGTGGGTTTTTCTTTTGGTTCATGTTTGAGGTGCTGTCCGTGATTGTAGGAGATGTCTCTGTGTGTATACCAACTAAAGTGTTACATATTTTCAGTATTTAGTTCTAGAAATAGTAAGTGAATGAGACACAACACCTTAGCTACACTTAAATCACCTGATTATGTACTGTTCTGCTTTTATGGCTTGACACTATACGCTGTTAAATCACAGGTACACCTAGAGATGATGTACTTATTCCTAGAAGATATGCATGTGGCTAGAACAGAGTAGAGGCAAGGAAAATATCTTTACTTTGCATAGTTTGCAGTTCTTTGGCTAGTTTCAGTGTGATTCTCCATTCTTCCCATCCTGTTAGATATTTAAATTTTTCAAATACTGAAGAGAGGGATACCTTTTTCAAATAGGAAGTGTCTGTAGAATTGCAAATATAGGTTAAAGTGAGAGGTGGTGGTCTGCATGACTCAGATGATTGTTTTATTTTACTTGTTTGTATGCTTATCTTCTATTTTAGAAACAGAAAATAAAATGTTTACATTTTATCACAATGGTTTTTTGAGTGCAGTCCAAGTTAGTTCTTTCATTTTAATTCCACTTGGCATGTTGCCCCACTTAATTTTACAGCTTGGCCTGAACTTTTTATAGACATACGTAGTTATTAGCTATCTGTGTGCTGTGTCTCCACTTTCTTCAAGATGAAAAGAGTTGGAAAGTCACTTTTAGAGTTGGGTCAAGATTTCATTCCAAACGTTAATAGAAATGCAGAGCTTGTTCTCTCTTCTAGCTGAGCTAGATTGGTTATATACTATACACCAATAAAATTTTCCACAGTACAAAAAAGATTTTGAAAAACTCTTACCTAGCATTCTGTAAAGCATCATCAGAAGTGGATTTTAGCACGTGAGGGTCAAAATGTTTGCATCGGTTTCGGGGCATAAATTGGAACTTGTTTTAATTAATTTCTTTTGTATTTGACCTCTAGGTTCCAGCAAGATGTGGGGTGACAGTCCGAGACAGCCTAAAGAAAGCTCTAATGATGAGAGGTCTTATTCCAGAATGCTGTGCTGTTTACAGAATACAAGATGGGTATGGTTTGTGTGTGATGGTTTTTGCTCTTAGAATCTCTTCTTGGAGTTACCCAGTATGGCCGATTCTATCCAACATTGTGGAAATTGTTTTCAAAGTTCAGAATGATATGATACTTTGCGCTAAAACAATTTGTGCCTTGAAGACATATCTAAAAAGAATTGCAAACTCCTAGAAAAAGATTTAATCACTTTAAGAACAGGCATAATATAGAGTAATATGAGCTTATAGACTGCTGGCAAAACACTCATTAACCAAACTCATGCTAACCAAACAAGTATTAAATAGGTTTCGGTAACTTTTTGGTTTTATTTGATTTGGTTATAGTGCATTCTTAACTGAATATAGAGTTCCTGTGAGGAAAAAAAATTTGAGTTTCCAGCCCTAAAAAGTTTGTAGATTATCTTACTGCACAAAATTAGCCATCTCCTTGGAACCCTTATGGAACAGGTGGAACTTTCACAAGCACTTTATTTGATTAGAAACGTATCTGTCACCTTGGAACTAAAGAATCAGCCACTACTGGCGCTGATTGAAGAAGTGCATTTTGTTCCTGCAGTTTGTCCAGGGAAGGTGTGGTTTCCTTGGTGTGTTCTGAGCTTAATGTCTTGCCTTTAAAGTTTCCTGCAGTTAGAGACTGGGTAGCAAACCTCCACAGTGCAACTTTCTACCTGTCAGCAGGAGACCTGCAAGGGCTTGTGCGCTGGTGCTAATGAAAGGCTTATTTACACTTTAGAGAGAAGAAGCCAATTGGCTGGGACACTGACATTTCCTGGCTCACAGGAGAGGAGTTGCATGTGGAAGTCTTGGAGAATGTGCCACTCACGACACACAATTTTGTATGTACTGTTCTTTATGAAATGTTGAGTAGGGTTAAATCAACTTTGTACTTTCAAAATCAAATTAACAACTTCCAAGAATATTTTGTATCTGTGGGATGTGGTGGGGGTTGCAAAAGAAGTTTTTAATCACAATAGCTTAAGTGAATTAGATAGAATTGTAATTGAAGTAAGTGATGTTAGAGTACTTGATCGCCCTTAAAACTTTCACATTTGGATGGAATACACCCTTTAAAATCTATAAATGTAGGGGGTTTAAATCAGCACTGCATTGCAGAGCTGTAATAATAATCTACTATTTTTGTATTGCTGTATCTATAAAATGTATTCTGGGCCTCCCTGCTGGCTCTGCAGCAGCAATTAACTAATGAACTAACTATTCCCAGAGCGGTGCTGACATCATCAATGATGCTAGTGCACAAATATGTTTTGACCTGATAAGGCACCAAGTAAATGGAAGCTGCTAAACAGAATTTATCTAAACAGTTCCAGCTACATACAAAATCCAGGAAATGATGTTTGTTACATTGAGAAGAAAGACCTTTTATTTAAAAAAAAAAAAAAATTCTATTTGCAAGCTTAAACTATTTCACTCGAACAAGCTAGTTTGGCTATGGCTAGTTAGGTGAAAGTCTAGTAGGCTTAATGTTTTTTTGATACCCTTCTGAAATTTTTATTATTACGTGTAGTAATACAACTAGAATGTGTTTTTATGCCAAGTATTGCTGAATTTGAAAATGAAACTAAATCATTTTTCCTCCCCCTATAATATGAGGGTAATATATGTTCACCCTTTTGCAATTTTAAATGTTTCTGAGTTTCAGTAGTCAAAATTAAAACTATATGTGTAACCATATATAGAAGCCATATATATAAGCCATACGTGTATTTCCAGTCCTGTGAGTGTTGGATAGAAATGTCATTTGGCTCCTGGAAAAATTGGAAGATGAGATAATCTTTCAGCAGCTTTTGTTTTTATAGGTTGTATCCAATTAAATTCTGAATGTTTGTCTCTAGCATGATAATAGTGCACTATATTGCTTCAGATTTGTTGCTGTTTTTCTTACTGCTAATGAAGTGAAGCATTAATTCCAATAAACAGTTGAAAGAAAATTTTAATGCATGAAGGCTATTTCAAAAATGAGACAATCTTTTATGTAAATCTGTTTGATATATAAAACTATAGCTCCAACATCAGAAAAGAGGCTTGTAAGTGTATTTGAGGGAGGTAAAAGCAAATAGCCTGTCTTAGGCTTACAGAAGGACTCTATTTAATTATGATTATTTTTGACAATGTAGGTACGAAAAACATTCTTCACGTTAGCATTCTGCGACTTTTGTCGAAAGCTGCTTTTCCAGGGATTCCGGTGCCAGACGTGTGGCTACAAATTTCACCAGCGCTGTAGTACAGAAGTGCCACTGATGTGTGTTAATTATGACCAACTTGAGTAAGTAATCACAATTGGTTTTGAAGTTGAGCCTTTTATTAAGCTTTCAGCTGTCAGTGATTTCTTATGTTAGATCTGTAGTTCAGGAAATCAGAGGAGGTGCCTGAAAAAAATACAGGAGTTCAGCTGTTCTTGTGAGACTGCATAATTCATATTCTCTCTGTGCTAGCTCAGACAACCAGTTCATATTTTTTGCTGGACTATGAAATGCTTTCTTTGAAGCATAAATGGGGTGGTTGAGCACTTGACTGTATCAGACAGACTTCTCATTGTTCACAGTTGTTATTCTTAATCAAAACTAGTTCTTTATTATGCGATGGCTAGGGCCCTTAAATATTTAGATGTGGGTTTAGATGCGGGTTTATTCTCTTCAACCTGAAAAAAATGTTAAGAGACACTAGTTTAATATGGTGAAATTGCAGTTGGTTTTACAGTGATTGAAAATAAATCCATTGGTGAGTTTGCCTAGGTAAGAAACATAAAAGATGATGTCCCAAACCGTCCTGTGTTCTTGAATTTAATTATTGATCTATTTGTGCAAGTCTTTGATGTAGGTTAAGGATCTGGTGTAAAGTGGCTCCGTGTTCTATTTGATTGGTTTCAGCAGAGGCTGTTAAGTCTTTTAAATAGACTTTCATATAAGGAATCATTTAAAATGCTAGTTTCTCCTCCAAGAATAAATTTAACTTCTGCTTATGTTGGTATTTGTAACTGTTTCCTTGGGCACCTCTAGAGTTTGTGCTCAGGGCTTATGGATAACATAGTTCTATCCATTTGGCTTTTGGCATTGCATCAGTGCAAACATTAAAATAAGTTCGTGTACTCAACATATAGGTATAAGTTGTGCATTCTTGAGGAACAAGATGTTTGCAATTTCATCTAAAAGATTAAAAAATTACTTTCCACAAAGGTATGTTTAAGGCATGATCTTTTGATCCTTTGTCAAGTAAATAGTATTTTTAACAAATCTTGCAGATTAATTGTAGTGTAGTCTTTATTTTAAAATTTAGAATTTGATCGGTGGGGGTTTGGTTGTTTGGTGGTAGTTTTTTTTTGTTTGGGCGTTTTTTGGGTTTGGTTTTTTTTTTTTCAATCTTTGGGTGTTATATTGTGAAGCTTCTGGGTTTTGCACAAGTTAGGTTGTTTTTGTTTTGTTCTTGCCTCACAGTTTGCTGTTTGTCTCCAAGTTCTTTGAACATCACCCCATATCACAGGAGGAGGCCTCCTTAGGAGAGACCACCCCAGCATCTGGATCGTACCCCTCAGTGCCCCCCTCAGATTCTGTTGGGTATGACCTCTGTTTAATAACATAACATTTCAGTACTGTATGCTTAGAAACACTCAAAATACTGCTTTGCAACTCTCCACATTTTTGTGATCCGGCTTGTCATGCAAATATATCCACCTATGCTTAACTTTAAAGAAGTGAATGTTTTCATTCACATAAATGATATAAATTAGTAATGAACCTAAGTTAAACGTGTGCGAAAGTGTCTGTAGAATTGGGGCCTTACCTGTTAAACTGATTTCTCCTGCATGGAAGCTTAGACCTGGTCTAAACTGGAAAGATTTTATAATTAAAATTAAAACAAGCCAAAACTATATCCTTACAAATTCTTTTAGTTTGTGTTATCAAACTACAATTTGTTTGCCTTGAAGTGACATACCTCTGTTTCAGAATAAGCCACGCCACTATAAGATTGGTGTGAATAGATGCCAATTCCAGGTTCATAATACTGCTTTAGTAGCTTTTCCACATACACATTGGTTTAGTATCCTCCAGACCGGCTGTCTTCCTCCCGTTTAGATGTTGAGATACATCAATAGCATCTGTTTGCAGCAGAGACAGGTTTTGTAAAATCAGACTTCTAAAACTGACCACAGCTTCCATCCCCTGCGTTTTCAACAAAGATTCTCTTCCAACACTCTCTCTGTGAAGGGATAAGTGATCATATTTAGATTATGTTCCCAGTAGCTAAGAGATCACTGACACCACCCAGCACTAGATAGTTGAACAAATCTCCAGGAAAGAGTAACTCAAGGATGTGTATCAAAATCAAGAAACCTGATGCAGATTTATTAAGAACACCAAATACAAAAGCCTTCAGAAAAACATTCCTAAGACATGTGCTGCGTGGAGATGAACTGAATTTGGCAGAGGGGCTCTCTTGGAATAGTGAGCATTGTGCCCAAACTAAAACAGAAACACAGCTGGAAGCTACGCAGGCACCTGTGGACTCTAACTAGAAGAAAAATTCCCTGGACAGCCAAGACTATTTTATAAAAGACCAAATGTGATGCCTCCCAGGAAAATAGATTGACAGTCCTGCAGAAGGAACCTCATCTGGTAAGTATAAAGAGAGATGATGTTCTTATTTGTACTATTTTGTGCAGTTTCAAGTAAATTTGGAAGTGCGTCTTCCAGATAATGGATGTTGCCTTTATAGCCCGTGGATGTTAGTACAGCAGATTGTGATAAGGCTGCTGCTGTGGTTCTCTAAGCTAAGCAGCCTCTGCCTTTCTCATGGTACAGCTGAAATTATAACCAGGCTGGAACTACTAATCTGTGAAGAAGCTTGTTTATACCAACTGTGTTAAACGCCTGCGGATGCCAAAGGCACTATATAACCCCAATCCTAACACTGGTATATGCTAAATTTTCCTACTTTTCAGTTGCTTCTGCCTCACATTTGTGCTTTCTTACCAGTTTATGAGGATAGAAAGGGTGGATTATCTTAATTGATAAATGCACTACTTCAGGCGGTCTTAGTTTTGTGAAGTAAAAACTGAAAGGAAAAACTGAGACCAAAGCTGGTTAATGCCTTAAGGTTTTTAACTTCACATATATAAAAATATTAACATTTAAATATACTTGCCAGTTGAGGTTAAGGACCTTTTGCCAAGTGTTGCATCTGTAAATGTTTGTGGTTGCAGGAGCTGTAAAAGGTTTCTAGCTTTCTACTTTTCACTTTTTGCCTTGCTGTACACTTCATTGTTAAACCAAAAAAAAAGAGGCATACATCATGCCTTCAAAATTCTGTTTATTTTGAAAATGGCTTATGATTATCAGCTGGTGTTCATAAGTAGTATGCATGTTACAAAGTCATGCAGTTTTCCCCAAGCATCTGTATTTGTAGTTTCCTTTCCAGAAGCAGCTCAGATGATACTGTATGAGCATATAGCACTGTCCATACCTTTCCCCAGTTATCCTTTTGCCTTTCTTTAATAATACTTCTCTGCTTTTTAAAGACGTAATTGTGGAAATGTTAATTTCTCTGAATTTTTTTTAGAGTAAAAAAAAAAATGTTGGCCTTTTCTAAAAAACATATATTTACCCACGGTTTTGTTAAAGGGTACTGCTACAATATGGGACAACAGTTCAACTGGAATAAAAAAAAAAAAGGTGTGACATTTGAAGTTATCTTGTCTGGGAAGAGAGTAAGAGATTGAAATGTGAGAGTTGGGCAATGGGATTGAAAATATGAGGAATTAGCACTTTATTAACACTTATTAGTTTAATAATTGTTCCTTTGATTTCTCTGTTCTCCTAGCATCTTGCATGGCACAGCCCACAGAGGAAGGGATGTTACTAATCGTTTGGTAAACCTGAGGAAAGAGAAGGCAAACATCCTTCTTCATCTTTAGCCTTGTGAAGGGATTCCAGCAGCAGGCAGAGTGCCCAAAGAAAGGAAGTGTTTGTGTTACAAGACAAGCTCAAGAGCAAAGGCGTGTGTGACATGCTGAGAAATTGTCAAGGGATCAAATGGAGAAGTTGGAAAGAGAAAGGGACATAAAGAAAAAGACCATTGGACGTGATGCAAAAGCTGCTAAACATGCGGGAGAACTTTGTTTCACTTTGCTCATGTGTGACATCCTAAAGCAGTCCAGTCCTGTAGCCTTTCATTCTTCCAGCTGTACACCGTAGGCAGTCCCTCTAGACGTTCCACCCCAAGGGAGCACATACGGTCCCACTTGCACATTTCTGAACCCCTTATAAAAATGTGTCCAGCCTCCACATTAGGTCTTTTGTCCAATTTTAGTTCTTTCAGTTTGCACTATCCTGTTGTGCCAAAGCAGTCATTTTAGTTACAATCTGCACTTAACTGGAAAGAATAATTAAAAGTGTAGGTCTCCCTAATAATAGCCATTTGTAATAAAATTGAAGTACGCAAACTGTATATAATACATTGTATTCATTTCATTCATTGCACTATCATAAAGTTTCTGTACCTTTGCTCGTAAAATATGAGCACAGAATTTCTGTGAACCCAGTTCCCTGGATCTTACAGATATATGAAAATGGGAGAGATGAGCTATTCGAAATATTCTGAAGTTGTCTTTTTCAACTTCCATCTATTCTCTCAAATCTTTTGATGTTGGGCAAAACTCAGCAAACTCATGAGGCAGATATTATGGCAGGGTAAGTAACCTGTGGAGTGGGTGGTAAGGGGGCGCATGGTCAGACTTTGAATAGCACAGAGGCAGGTTGGACTCGATAGAAACTGAAAGCGTCTGCTTTGCTTGAGGCAGAACACTGCTAGTAAGCAGGCTGGCAACATCTTGGCTCTTTGAAAAACAACATTTCCCAACATGCTTAATCTTCTAAATTTGAGGAAGAAAGGGGGACTGTCTGGTGCACCATTCTTGGAAGCTTGCCAGTCTCTGTCTTAGAGCAGGCTCCAGCCTCTGATTAAACACCTCTGCTTTCCTTTCTGTCTTCCAAATGTTCACTGATCATTCTGCCTCAGCCGAAGATATTTAAATGTCTAGAAAAGCTTCTGAAAAGCCAAGGAAACAAAAACAGTCTTACGATACTGTATTTAGTACCACAACACCATTTAGATCCCCATGTGTTTAAGTAAGCAAAAGCTTTGTGTTTTATGCAATAAAACAATGATGAACTTTTCCCCTAAAAATTCTGGCACCAGACCTTTTCCAGACCACTCCATGTAAATGTTAGCAAACTTCCTACAGTATCCAACTTGATATGCATTCTTGCTGAGCAGAAGAGGCCTGGTATCAGAATCTTTAGAAAAATCATCTTTAGTCTATACAACAGGTGGGGGAAACTTCTTGCTCCCCAAAACTTTATTTGCAAAAACATGCTAATGAACTGAAACCTGGTTTGGAGGACTGACAACAGCTGTGTGGGTTCTCTTGATAGCCGCTGGTATATGAAGCTCTCAGAAATTTTAGGAAAGCATTGCTGAGCTTTGATCTGGGCCCAAAGACCAGTATAAATGCACACCATTGTGATAACCCTGGCAATTGTTTTTCACCTACAAGCCAACATGGATGAAAACAAGTTATGGTATAGAAAAATGCACTGATCCATGTGAAGTTACGACTGTTACAGATCTGTCCCATGATGCTTTTAGACTGACTTCACAGGATGCTGTAAGAGTATCTTCTCTAGCTTGTAGTTACAAACTTGTACTGCTATCCTTTTCTCCAAATCAACATTTGATTTGGTGTTATTGACTATTTCCAGTCTGCAGAGGTGGGGAAAGAAAAAAAAATTACTTTGTTTTCTGGCAATATCTATGGAGTACCACAATAATTAAATTAGAACATGTTTGGCCTTCAGAATTTACAGTTTACCTGCTTGCTAGTGTAGCTGAAATACCATTGTATCCCAGATCCTTAGTAGTCCTTAGAAACTGCTTGAAAATGGAAGTGCACTGTGTTCTTCATTAACAGCAGTAACAAAAAACAAAGCCAATCATACTCTGGTGTAAACCAAAAAAAAAAAAAGCCTTGGTACGCATTTTAGCTTGCAGTAGGTTTGGCTTGGGTATGAGTATGCAGTCCACCAGGAGAATAGTGTGTACTACACTGAGCCCTGTGGCTAAACTGAGATGCACTTCTTCGGGCTGGGAGGGGGAGAAGAAAAATCTCAGTCCAGTAGAGATGCTGACATTTTAAAAGGGAAGTGGCACACGCCCTATAACTGAAGCTAGGTGAATGTGTATTTTCAGTTTAAGTATTTGCCTAACTACAGCAAAATAAGAATCCAGGCAAAAATCTTGAAGCCCAAACGAACCTTTTTTAAGAAAAATCTTTCCTGAGTAGACCAGCTCTTAAATATATGAAGCATCACACTGGTGAGTTAAAGGAAATTGAGGAAAATCTGTATTAAAATTTTCTTTTGTATTTGTAAAGTGAACAAACTTGTATCATTGCAAGTTCTAAGATACGGTGGAGGTACTGTGTATGATTTTATAAAATTGTTTGTTTATATATGACGTAGCATGTGTGGGCACTTTTCTGAGTTACCTTCCTCTTTCCCGTGGACCCAATTTTGTAGAATAGTAAATCTGTGGACATGTTGGCACTTGCTGTGATTGACAAAGGGTAAAAATCTACATCTGGTCTGCAATTAGTCATCTCCTGACGAAACCTCTTTCTGTTTTGTCTTGATAAAAGGGAGGGAACAATGTGCTTATCCCAAATACCTGGTCGAAGGAAAAAGCATTTTCTGTCATACTGCCAGAAAAGGTTATAACATATTAAATCGAGATTTGACAACTCTATCAGCTTGTTGCCTGGGAAGCTGAGAATCATTTGTTAAAGGAATGCCCACATCTAAGAAGCTGGAAGAAAGTGCGCAAGATGAGGTGGTATAACCTCTCTAATATGTCAGAATATTGACCTCCTTATTTGTAGAAGGTCTCCTCTAACTAGCAGGTTGGCTGTTAACTGCTCACAAAGGCCACAGGAGCAACAGAAACTCGAATCCTGGTATTTGAACTGCTATTCCTTTAAGCCCCAGCCTGCTATACCTGTATGCCACAGTAAACAGTTCTTTGCAGCAGTTGTGTTCTGGTCCTCTTGACTTTTTTTTTTTTTTTGGCAATATGTTTGTTGGCACTATGTTTGCGTAGGCTACAGACCTAGTTTTGGAACTTGCCTGGAATAGACAATGTCACCCTTTTCCAAATGATGATGACTGGCCCTTTTTGCTCCAGTGTCCCTTCTACCATCCTGGAGTAATTAAAATTTAGAAATACTATAAGAACAAGCTTTTGGTAGGTAAGAGGATTGCTGCATTCTTTGTGGTGACGTGTTTTCTGTAGATCAAGATCTTGATGCAGAACAAGATACAGCTTTTGCCGCCCACAGGCGGTGGTAATCTCTTCTGAGCTTGTGATCTCAGTAGGCCATCTTGGCTAGCAAATCGATTGTGTCTTTCTCTTCACTAGTTACGTTTTTCTTGGCTAGCAAATCGATTGTGTCTTTCTCTTCACTAGTTACGTTTTTCAAGCAAAATTCCCATTTAGCAAAAATAATCTACCTTTTTGTAAGTGTCCCAAGGACACCCATTCATGAAATCCTGATTGTATAGAGCACACGGCTAACTGCTTATGAGATTCCCATCTGTGGATTCTTTGGTGTCTAAAGCCCAGAGATCCTCCCAATAATAGTTTAGAGACTCCAAAAAAGAGAGTTCTTTATTCTTTATCTTCACCTGTAATTGTTTTCTAAAGATCTGAACTTCCCCCAGTTAAAATTTAATGAGTAGAAAAAGCTATTCAAATTGTTTTCAAACATGATATGACATAGCATGCTATCTGTGCTAGCAACATGATGGGCATGATGACCTGTGACCAGAAATACAGAAGTGTTTGCAGATTCCCTTAGCAGATGACCATTTATGACTCAAAGGAGGATGTAATTGAAACAATATTTCTGCAATTTGGTTTTCTCTTCCTTGGTTTACTCATGATCACAGAAAATCTGATTGCTTCTGTTCTCGTCCTGTGGCAGAGCTCAAATGCTGTCTCACAGTCATTCCTAGTGCAGCAGTCTGATGTTTGTTGTTACACATTTCCCTTAATTTCATTATTACTGAGAACTCTCAGGAAGTTTGAGCAGGAGTTAGCTATCCCAACAATGACAGTACTGGCCTGGCTGAGACACTTTTTAGGCTTTTCTTCTGAAATCTTTCTGTGCAGCATCTGACAGCCTTGCTTTAACATGAAAATACAGTGCCTTAGAATGTCAACCAAGTCCTGCACTTGTATCTGTGCAGTGTCCCATCTCCTGATGTGGGTTCTGGTTGCGTGATGTCCTTTCAAAAACATTGAGGAGTTCAAAACTTTCTCATCTCCAATAAAAAAGATATTACCCGAAGGCACTTGTTAGCAATGAATGAAAACTTTAGCTTATGTATATGTACATCAACTGCATTTAAAAAACATTTCTGAAATTCTGAGCATCTTCTGAAATGCTGGGCTGTTCAAGGACCTTTCTCAGAGATTTGTCTATTGGCAGTTTCAATTCATTGCTTCCCGGTATCTTCCCAATATTTATATTCTGTCATGTGACAATAGGTAACTATTTTTAAAAAAAGTTAAGCAAGGTTAAACCCCCTACCTATTCTTCCCCTGCCCCACTTCCCAAACATAATCTAAGTATTTTATTACAAGACTTACTAGACTGTTACTTGAATTAATTCACAAGCGATCTGTTTTGCCATTCCCAATTGTGAGACTGTTGGCCAGGAAGGAAAAGATGACAGGTACTTAGGATACAGATAGCACTGAGTTCTGGGATCAGTGCCAAACTCTATAAAGTCTTCAATGAAAGGTAGGGTAATAGTCTTTAAAGCAGACCTGTTTCTGAAAAAATGTCAAGAGATCTGGTTGAAAATGTTAGTTGCCCCTAAAGATCTTTGGAGAGGCCAAGGAACCTTTGCTTACAGGAGGTGGCACCAGGACCTATTGCTGCTATATGCTGCTGTATGGTTTATTTCTGAAGCTTCTCCCTGTGGGCATTGCCTTTGTGGGCATGGTAACTAACCCATGAGTAATTGAATGGCTGGAGGACTCTACTCCTCTCTTAGGAATTGTGTTTTCTATAAGTTCTAAAAACCTTGTTGTCAGATATCACGTGTATTTCAACATGAAGTTTTCTTTGACAAAGGTGGCAAATGTTTCTCATTGACATTTTGCCTTATATCCATTAAATTGAATCGTTAGACTTAGCAGTGACTGACCTTGACTTGAGGAAGAGGTAAATGCCAATTTATTGTACCTTAACAATATAAATGGATAACCAAAGCAGTAGCATTCTGCCTTCTTACAAACGAAAAAACAAGTGTTTAGATGTTTTGTCTTTTAAATATATGATTCATGATACCATAAATTAAAGACTCTATCTACATTTATGACTGGTAGCATTTGTATTTCTTCAGAAAACTTGCCTGTATAGTTTGAACGCTTATCTTTCAAGTCAAATCTATTGCATTGCCTAACTGTAGCACTGTAAATAACATTTGAAATGTTGCACTATTCAAAGTTATTTCTTAAAGGTTGAGGTTAAGAGGTGATATGCTTATTTTTGGTATGAATAATTCATATTACATTGGCCATAAAATTAGTCAATTATGTTAGGTGACCAGTATTTAATTTTCAGTCTTTCTTCACTGAACAATAATCCCATCCATACAATTTGTTTTGTGACATCTTCTGACTGTAATGTTGATGTGAGATGTTAAGCGTTTTTAGTTTTCAATGGGTTGCCATTAAAAAGAGTGTATTGCATTAACTCTGAAGTGAGGAAACTGCAGAGTATCTTGCTATCTGCAGTGCATGTTGGGCTAAACGAATTTTTCAGATCAGGATTCATTATTACTAGTTTGGTATGGTATGCTAAGGTTTTTTGTTTTGTTTTAACTCAGAACACTTCACAGCCATGTAATTAGGTAGCTTGTGCAGCAGAGAGTTGTTGCAATTGATCATAGGGGAGTAGAGGACGTTCATTATAAATTGTTTTTATGCAGGCCTTTAGGTCAGTTTTTTTAATGTATGTATTATTATAGTTGAAAAGGACTTACCACACCCACTATGCAGTATTTGAAGCCATTTGTAGACCTAAATCCTCTTTTTCCTTGACTTTGTTTCTCAGACCACCAATTCTCCCTAGTCCTTCTCCTTCAAAATCCATTCCAATCCCACAGCCCCTCCGACCAGCAGATGAAGACCATCGGAATCAATTTGGGCAACGCGACCGATCCTCTTCAGCCCCCAATGTTCACATCAATACAATCGAGCCAGTCAATATTGATGTAAGTATTAATAACATTTGGATCAGGAATCGTAGATTTGATATTTCCCTTATGAATATCAGTGCGTTAAATTCATCACGTGTACACACGAGTGCTGTGTTTCTAAGCTAATCCTTGGTGGTCTGTCAGAATCTTCATAGATCCCACGTAAGATATTTTTTGCTATTGAGAGCTGTAAGAACACAAATAACCCATTCTCCAAAAGCAGAAACTCTCCTTTTGACAGTCCTGTCCTTTCATTTTCAAAGAAACATTCTACCACAAACCACTGCTCTTTTTTTTGTCGTTAGTCCCAAGGCTCGTGCTGCGAGCTGTACCACAGCGTTAAGAATATGAAAGCCAGTAATCACTCTTGCAAACCATTCTATGTGTTAAGCATATTTCTTTATATGCAAGATAGGCATTTTTAGTAATTGTAATTCAAGTAATATTGCTGGCGTTGAAGAAAATTAAACTATTGCAGTAAGCTGAGTTCAGGTTTACTGAATGTTCCTTAGGATTTCAAGAACCCAGTATATATTGTTCCGAGCATTCTTTTGGAGTATTTAGAAACTGCTGCACTAAATATGTTTTCCACATTTTTTAAATTTCTGGATGCTGAATCGTAAACAATAATAATAATAATAATGGTTGATATTAGATGTAAGGCCAGCTAGAACCTTTCAAAATGTTGGTTACAACAACCTCTTTCTTATTTTGCTAACATATACAGCTTGTATTTTACCCTTAAGTCTACTCTCTAGAAATTAGTCATTTGTCAGGTGAGCAGTCTTGAAATCTGCCTGGACACTGAGGCACAAAATCTGTTTTGCATGTGAGCTGAGCGAAAAGTGAAATGTTAGTCTGAGTATTACGAGTGTGGCCGCATAGGCATTTGCATATGGTATATGGCAGTGGTGCAGCTGAGAGGCAGGACCAGTGCTTTCAGCAGCAGTGCAGGTGTAGAAAGGAATAAAATAATTGTGTAACCAAAAAAAAAAAAACAACTTGATGATGAAAATGGACATACAGAGGGAAACTGCTAGAATTTTCTAATTTTCTTCTGTTTAAAAAATCCTTGGTGTAGTTTGCTTTTAGTCTGGATATGTTGTAAAAGATACTCTCACTTCACAGTGGATTGCAAGTGAAGGAAACCTTTTGCAGTTAGTCATTTCTGAGAAGAACAGAGTGCGCCTGGCTATGCAAATGAGATGCTTTGTTACAAGAAAAAATGAAGCAGAACTCATTTGACTGATGTACCTCAGTACAGAAAATTGGTGTCCCAGCTTCTGATGTGACAGTTCAAATAATTTGTGCCACAAACACTTTAACTAGAACGTTTGGTTCGATATTTCTTCATATATTTTGGCCAACTGCATGTTTAAATCAGTATTTTCATGTCAGCATCTATTTTGGATGGTGTACGTTTCACTTTACTACTGAGAGATGCTGTTCTTCATGTCAGCATCTATTTTGGATGGTGTATGTTTCACTTTACTACTGGGAGATGCTGTTGTAAAGCAACTAATTTTGAAAAGTTTAGTAGTTGTTATAAATAATTCTTTGGAGTCGCTGCTATTAGTAAGCCAGGGTAGGAAACAACTTTTATTTCATGGACAATGTATGAGGTTATGGATTCTCAATTTGATCAGTCTCAATTGATTCTGGAATGTAAATGATAATACCTAAATTAAACAGTTAAACACTTTTTTTTTTTTTTAATTTATAGGAGTTGATTAGAGACCAGGGTTTACGAGGAGAGGGAGGTAAGTAGTGTTTAAACTAGCTACTGTGCTATGTTTAATTACACAACCGCTCTGTCCCTTCCCTTTGTTCTACTTCCCTCTACAAAACACAGGCACAAAGGAAAATATGACTAGAACAAAAAACGAGTTTGCATTTGCTTGTCCATGAACTTAATATTTGTCTGACAAAGGTTTGAGTCATTTGCCAGTCATTCTGGGAGTGGGGGAGACGGAAGGAGAAAAAGTTTTGAAATGGTATCTAGTTTTTTAGTTTTAAAATTATCATACACTGTCACTTTTTTGCTCTCATATGCACACACTCATTCACTCACATGGCTGCACACAGATACGCTACAACTTCCCAATTCAAAGATTTTTATGCCTGTTGTTACCTTTTCACCCATGGAGACAATGGGGGTTTTCATTAAAACCATCAACATGGTAGATGGACCTTCCATATGAACTGCTGCATCCTAAAGCAGCATGAAATACTCCAGTTCTTCTCCCCCTCTACCCCTGCTGAAGATGCTGCTTTGCTGTACTGCATGCCTGTGCTACTCTTGGAACCAGGTTGTTAGGACCTTACGCTAAAGCCAGGTCTTTTTATGTTTCCTTCAGTAACACACAGCCCTAATTCCCGGTTAAGTCAGAACTATGCCAGAAGATTTATTTTTCTTCACGTGATACACGGGCCATGTTAAGTCACTTCTCCCACTGGCTGTCAAGGTCCTGAGAGGGCTTCTTATGCGTTGTATTTATTCCTATGGATATAATATAGAAGTAATAGAAATAAAGGAATAGTAAGTAGGGCAGGCATATGACAGTTTTTCCAACTCCAAATCATTAACACAGTTGTCTCCTACTACTTATAAATTGCTTCAGCCGTAAGTAAAGTCTGAATTACCTTAGTGCACTCTATCCTGATCTCTAAGGTTTTGTACTGTGGGCTATCACCGACTTTTTCTCCCATCCAAATCTGATAGTTGGTAGGATGGTACCTATCTACTGCGTTGTGTTTGATGGAGCTGTTTTTCTTATGCCAGCAATAGAACGATTTTAAAAAGAAATTTCCTTTAATCCTGCAAGCCTACTAATTTAAAGTTGCCAGTTTTAGCTATTTTTGTATGTGTTGATAGGTGTGGTTCTCCACAGTTTTGCCCATTTTGTCCAGCATTTAAATGTTGTGCTATCATGTCGGTTTTAACTTTTGATCATGAACTGTCTGCTTGGCATCTGAAAACAATTGGCTGTTCCCAGTCCTGAAACAGTTATTAGTAATTGACTTTTTTTTTTCCTTCAAAGTACAGAACCAATCTATGAATAGGAGTCAAAGCACCCTAGTTATTTCCCATGACTTCTTTCATTTCTTCTATGTGTCTGTCTTTCTGTCTCTGCCTGCCCGTCTCTTTCTCTCTAACAGCCCCTTTGAACCAGCTGATGCGCTGTCTTCGGAAATACCAATCCCGGACTCCCAGTCCCCTCCTTCATTCTGTCCCCAGTGAAATAGTGTTTGATTTTGAGCCTGGCCCAGTGTTCAGAGGTAGTTGGGCTCTTCTTTCTTGTTTTCACCCAAACAAAATAAGTAAAACCACAGATGCTGTTTGTGCCTCACCCTCACACCGTGTGTATGTAAGTGTGTGAGTTTATCAAAACACCTCTGGTTTTTTGCTTAGCCTGGCTGGAATGCTTTGAATGTGCTTTTCACACATACTCACTTTCACCTTTACACGCTTGAAAATGACTATAAAGTCAGTCTGACTTAAATCTTCAAAAGCAAGGAATTTCATAGTTGAGGTTTTTATGTGGACCTTAACATAATTTTTCTAAACAAAGGTCCTTGGATTGTGTTGCAGTGATTTTAAAGACAAAGTGATGTCCTTAACTTAGAATTTCCTTGACTGTTCAGTTTAAGTCAGTTCAGTGCTTTAACAGTTTTCTATATTTAATATTCTTTGTTTTGAAAAGTAATCTAGGAAATCAAATGTGAATTACAAACATTTCCATTGATATCTTGTTCGGTCTCAAGCTTTTCAAGTAATGTGTCATGTCAACTTTCAACAAATGCTTCATTTTGAGAATGTGCTGTTGATACCACATGGGGGCTCTAGATGGTTTAGACCATGTAGTTTTTATTTAGTTAGTAAATTTCCAGTGAAACAGTGTTTGTTTGCATCCTGTACCATGTAAAACAAGACTTTTCCATTTTCACATCATTGACTCTGGGGGTAGTTCAGGCCTAAAGCTGTCAATGGATCTGTTGTATTGCACAAAATCCCAAAAAACTCTGTGGGATTTCATATGCTGGAGAAACCAACTATTGAGTAATAGCATGAAATGTAAATATTTGTGTGTGTATGTATACATGTAGAAATGGGTAGTTCAGTGCATGTAGTGTGGTTTTCAAATGCTACCACCTTGGCTGTTTCAAAGACTTTTGTTTCAGAATATATCAAGAGCAGTTCACCTTATGAAATTGTAAAGTTCTTCCAGAATTTTTTTTAGAAGACAGGTGTTCCCAACAAGCAAACTGGCTACAAAATGGAATACGTTACGTACAGCTTCAGAGTCCAAGCTAATGACTTAAGTCCAACATTATCTGAAGTATTCTACTCTAGTAACTTGGAAAACAGGCCATCTGGTATTATTATGAACAGATTAACTATAATGCTCTACCATGTGCTGTAAGTGTTTTTGGTGAAGGATGAATATTGTGCTAGTGTTTCTATGTCGTGGTATTAAAATCTAAGTAGGAGACTTTAGTTACCTCTAAAGAAAACACATTCTAGTAGAGCTTTGCTATTACAGAGAAAGTCTATTACCCAGTAAACTTTTGGAAAATCGCTCATGTTCTGGGAACATTATACATTTAATTCCATATATGTGTGATTCCAGACAAATAATATAATAAATATATGACTGTAACATGAATATGAACAAAAGTCCATCCTTCAGGTCATTGGCTTCCAGCTGCTTGTAAATGTAGTTAGGATGCCCAATATGCATCATTATTGTTGCTTTAACATGTGGGACAAAGTTTATGGATGCTGCGTCCCATTTTTGATGTGTGGGTATGTCATTATTTTGTGCTTCCACTTCTAAATGTATGGATTTTAGCTTAGTGAGGACAGACAGCGATTAATATGTATATAGTCTGATAAATTAGCATGCACTGGGTGACTGAACTCAAGCAACAGTTTTAAAAGTCACAAAGTCAATTTTCAAGTCAAGTTGGCATTAGGAGACACTTCTTTGGTAAGAAGGAGGCTTCTGAAGGAATACGAGGAGGAATATCGTCTTCTACCACTTCCCAGAGCACTAATGGCGAGAGAAAGCATTGGAATGTTGGAGGTCTTGTACAATGAAATACATTGTTTAGCAGAGCAGCATGAATTTAATTAACAGATGACCCTATTTTATGTCCTTTGCATTCATAACCTTGTTACAAATAATTATCATGTATTTTAAAAAGCAGTGTCTAGTTAAGTGCTCTATTTGTAAAGAGCATTAGGGCTCTGAAACACAGCTCTGTTAGTGACATTTTCCTGCATAGATTTGTTTAGATAACATATAGGCTACAGATGTACTGTTCTTTTTGTATTTAATAGAATATGCCTCAAAGTACTAAAGTACTTGCTCTTTTTTTAATCCTTTTTACAGTCTAATATTTGCTTTTAAATAAGAGCTCTCTGCTAACAGATAGCTTTAAAACAGCCAAATGGTTTTCAGGTGGCACTTGGAGACTCAACTAGAAAACCTTTCAGGTTTTTTGTGTTTAGTCTATTTTGATTCCAGAGTACAGTATTTCAGCTATTTATTGGGTCCCTAAAAGGTTAGCTACAGGAAATCTGAGAGGTAGCTGCTGCTAACTAAAATGCTACTACTTTTCTTCTCAAAGAAACTGGTGGAATTAAAAAACACATTTGAAATTTTTTTTTTTTCTATTTAAAGAGACATTGTCCTTCTGATAATTCATGGACAAGAGACTGGGGACTATCTGGTATACAGGGATGTTTGCTATAGACTTGTCTCTTCCTGAAATCTAAGACTTGAGCACTAATCTAATATTAGGACAATATTCCTAGTATATGTTTGTTCCCTCTTAACATTTACATTGATGTTTGGAGATACTGCATCTTAAATACAATTCTTACACCTAATATCAATACATTCTTGTAAGCTGGTTTCTTATAGATAAAATTATCCTGTTTCTGAAATTTAGGTTCAACTGCAGGTTTGTCTGCAACACCTCCCGCCTCTTTGCCTGGGTCACTCACCAATGTGAAAGCGTTACAGAAATCACCAGGACCCCAACGAGAAAGGAAATCATCCTCATCCTCAGAAGACAGAAATAGAATGGTAAGGGAAAGATCAGCTATTTTCATTCATGTTATGGTATAGTCATAGTATAGAAATACTACACAACCATGTTCCTCTCACTCTTCTTTCATCAAAGCCTTCTGAATTATTTTGAAGATGAGTATGGTAATGATCAAGGACCAATAATAATGGAACATTGAAATTGTGGGACTGATATATAAATCATTTAAATAATTGACTATACTCACTTTTACTCCATTGCACCCAAATGTCTTGATGTGCTTCATATTATAATGCCAGTTTCCCTTCAAATAGCAGCTTAACTTTGCCCACCATGATTCATGAACTTTGAAAGTTCTCTAGTGATTCTCAAATGTAACAATACCTAAAAATGTCTGCGTTTTTTTAATTCACAATTTAGCGTTATGATTGAGTAAGAATGGAAAAATAAATGTGACTTTCTCTTTGGAAAGAGTTTCTTAATATTTACTGGTTTTAACACTGCCAGAAACCTGTGGCAAGTATTTCATGCCAGGAAATAGTTTAGTATACCTGTGTGCTGAGGTTTTGTGTATGGCTGGCTTGAAAAGTCAAATGCAGTATCTGAAAAAGAAAGTTCTTTTAGGACTTCAATGATATGAAATGCTGATACCAAATCTTTAAAAAGGAGTTGTTTTCACAAACATTAATGGACTTGCTTTCTTCCGTTTTATTGTTTATGCATATATATAAAGAAAACCCTTGGTCGACGGGATTCAAGTGATGATTGGGAGATACCAGATGGACAGATCACAGTTGGACAAAGGATAGGATCTGGATCATTTGGAACAGTCTACAAAGGAAAGTGGCATGGTATGTGGCCATCATGGCAAACAGTTATTCTTAAGCAAGTAACATTGCCTGCTGGGGGTCACCCAGTTGGAAAGCAGCTTTGCAGAAAAGCGCCTGGGGATTCTGGTGGACACCAGGTTGAACATAAGACAGCAGTGTGCCCATGCCGCAAAGAAGGCTAATGATATCCTGGGCTGCATTAGGCAAAGCATTGCCAGCAGGTCGAGGGAGGTGATCCTTCCCCTCGACACTGGTGAGGCCACACCTGGAGTGCTGGGTCTAGTTCTGGGCTCCTCAGTATGAGAGAGACATGGGCACGCTGGGGAGAGTCCACTGAAGGGCCATAAAGATGATTTTTAAATTAGTAAGTAGTGTGCTAAATAGGTAATGTTAGAACTTCAAACTGTTTAGAAACTCAACTCTTGCATGTTCTTCTGAATTAAGTAATTATTAGGCTAAAGATGAAACATAGTTACTAGAAAGGCTGAAGTATCCATCTTGATGAATGAGGATTTCAAATGTGTATTTGGAAAGCTTTAACTTCGCTAGGATTTCTCAGAGTAAAATAAGAACAGTGCTTATACATTTTACAGAATATTTTCTTACTTTAATATTGTAGTGGTTTATTTCACGAAAGCTAGAAAATAGGGTATCTCAATATTTCTGATGCTCTGTATAGCACTTTCTCAGTAGAGGAATATGTATCAATGGCACTTATTAAAAATTGCTATTTTAAAGGTGATGTGGCAGTGAAAATGTTGAATGTTACAGCACCCACACCTCAACAGTTACAGGCTTTCAAAAATGAAGTAGGAGTGCTCAGGTAAGAATATTTTTAATGGCATAAAATAATGTGTGTAGATTTATGCTTCATTAATCATTGAATTTTAGATTTCCATTAGAACACATTGGTCTTACTCCTCCATGATGATACTTCGGGCAGAAAATATAACTTGCCATTTTAAAATATTTCTTTGTATCCACTGCTAGTTCTTCCTTCCCCTGTATGTGTTTGTCTATACACCTATGTTGTGAATATATGTATGTCCAAACACTCAAGACAGGACCGTTTTTTGATATTGTACTACCCCAGGGCACAGTCAAGCCTAAGTGTGAACTATAGGCCTTTCTTTCCTCTCATCCACATTTTGAGATTGAATGTGTTTCTCATAAAGTCACTTCTTGATTTCCTTTTCGCATGTCTACTGCTTGTACTTTCTCAGAAGAAGTACTTGTCTTGGGTTCAGTTCTTAGAAGAGGATTCATCAACACGATACAATAGAATATTTATTGGGGAGGACCATTAGCATCCAAGTACAATCTTGAGCAGTTTCGAGCATAATTCTGTTTTAAGGAACAAAATAGGAAGAAGGTTTTTGCCTCTGGAAAACTGATGCATTGAGCTGGGCCCCTGTGCTGGAGGAGCGTCCCCAATAAGCTACACAGTGAAAAGGGGATGGTCAGCCTTTTTCCCCAGGAAATGTTAGTTCTGAAAACTCTTAAGTCCATAGTTGTGGAAGTGGAGGCTTTCTGGGGTATGCTACTTTGGATATCTCTGCATATTTTTGACATACCTGCTCAGGAGAACTTAATGAAATCAAAAATCTTCTATTCCATACCTAGTCCAGATCTCTGCTGGCAGTCCCATAGCTGGAGTCCAGCCTTTCTCAACAAGTGTTGATTGTTTCAGCACTTAGAGTAAATAGTCAGTCGTCCTATCCTTTGACCCAGACAAGCCAGATTTACATGTAGTTGTGCCTTTTCCATTACGCTTCATCATTACTTTCTTAGCTTTGAGGTAGGATTTGCAAGAAACTGCTTATTTTTTGTTCACTCAGTAGTTACTCTCAGCATCACTTGACAAATCCTTGAACCTGAAAAAGGCACAGTCACAGAGTGTAGAACTGTCCTAGTCTGCATTGCTGAGAGGACAAGGGTTCACGCTCTAGGCTCCCATGTTAGTTTTTTAATATAAGAAAACATAAAGAGCTCTGCCATCTTCAGCAGCAGCATAGATTTAAGAAGCTACCACAGGTTTTAAGCTTGGTCTGTCAGGTTTTGTCAACAGTGAGCTGACTGCCTTCGGTACTGAGCTGTGTTGGAAGAAGATTGCCTTTGTTTTTCCTCAGCCCCTGGGAAAGCTAGGAAATACTCCAGAATTCCTAGGTGCCTCATCTTTGTAATATCTCATTGGTATGTTTGGAGGTATGTAGTTTTTCATGTCCATTTCATGTCCATCCATGATAAGAACGTGATGGATTTTTCCTGGAGGGTGAGGAGAATCTTTCAGATTTCACAGTGTATCAGTAGATTCTTTCAGGCCTTAAATCTATGGGGATATCTTCTGAGATAATCCTCTCTGCATTGTTCAGTCTGGAGTTGCTCCGTCTTTGAAATAGGTTTGATTTAATCTGGCCAAATCTCTGTGGTGAACTCCAGTCTCTCCCAGTGCTGTTTGGAAACAAGTTCATATCATAACCTTACTGAGGTACAGTTTTCATACCTGTTTCCATCCTTTCTTGTATGCTGTCTCCATAGAGAGTATAAAATTCTTGTCAAATAAAGCACTAAGAAAAACTGAAGCCACGTCAAGGAAGTGTGTTGATAGTTTCTGAATGCAAGGGTTGTCCTTCCTGGAAGCCTCTGAGACTGGAATTTCATTTTGGATGTCCTTCTTATGGGCAGCAACGTCTCATAGCTGGACTGTGGTTACACAAAAGCAGACCTGCCTGCAAACCATCGCTGTCCCACAGGGACCTAGTGGTAAAAGCGTCTTCTGAGCAATCTGTGCTGGGTTGCTTGCAAAAGCAAGAGGAAGCGGTGCTTACCCCAGAATAGCTGTTCCACATCATTGTGATAAGAAAGGCTAACTGCTGGAATCAAGCTGAATCTAGCACCAGGTTATCATGTTATCTCAGCAAAAGTTGAGATTGGCCCAACAACTTCTGTTTGGAAATACGTATTTAGACTGTGATAGATCTGCCTGGGTTTTTCCCTATTTCCTGATCCACCTGATGGTTTGTTTTTTTTTTTCAACAGGAAAACACGACATGTGAATATCCTGCTTTTCATGGGTTATTCAACAAAACCCCAGTTGGCTATTGTTACACAATGGTGTGAGGGGTCCAGCTTGTATCACCATCTACACATCATTGAGACCAAATTTGAAATGATCAAACTAATTGATATTGCACGACAGACTGCACAAGGCATGGAGTAAGTATCATATTACTTGTTTGCAAATGAGCATTGGGGCAATGTTTACTTATCCCCTTCACACTCTGACTGACATTGGCAAATAAGTCCAGCTATCTGCCCGCTTTGCCAAGCCCAGGGTCATGCCTTGATGAGCAAAGCATTTGGTGAAGTGTTTATTACTTTGATTAGTAAAACAGACTGTGTGTTCTTTTTTTGGAACTTAGGGAAATACAAATCATCAAGGAAATACAGTCTTAGATAGTAGAATAAAGATAATTACAGTGTAGTTAAACTTTCAGTCTTGTGAGCAAAGATTTCTGTTCCAGGCTTTATGATCTTCACAGTGCAGATAGTCTTACGGTAGGAGGTAAAACATAGTTTAAAAAGAAATACCCTGTGAACGAAAGGACAGAATCGTGTAAGGTAACGCAGAAGGCAGACAGCCCTGTTAGCAAAAAGAATCTATTTTTTTTTTCTCCTTTTCTTGTAAGTATTGTAGCTCTCTAAATAATAGATTTCAGCATTTGAAGAAAACATAACGTATTTTGTTCTAAGGACTGTAAGTAATCCTTACTCGCATAGAGGGCAATTGAGTGAGTTAGAAATTACAAAACTAGCCCAATATTGTGTGTCAAAATCAGAACACTGATGTAAGATCAGGGAAATCGCCCTCCAGCTGGAAACCCACTGTGATTATTGCAGTTAATTGTGCCATTTTTCTACTAAGTATTCTATTACATTTTCAGTCAAGAGGTGGGGAGGTGTTTGCAGCAACCAGCCTCAGCCTTCTGTTAGCCTGCTTATCTCCCCAGGCTCCTTCTGTAGGTAGTGGAGATGCAGAAGCTGTTTTATGAGCATGATTCAAAGCAGAGATGTAAATTGGGGCTTTTCCAGCAGGTTTGTGCCAATCTCATTGACTAAACAGCGAGCCATGGGAGATTAGTTGCTTAGTTTAGGCTGTATCTGTTCTGTGGGGCAAGTACTCTCCTCTGTGTTCCCTGCAATCTGTCTATCCAGTCTGCAGTCAGGGCATCTTTTTTCCAGTCCCATACTAAAAAGCAGTCAGCATACTTGAGTACACACTGAGACTGGGAAGCGCATCTAGCTTCTGCAATTTAGAAACACCTTACCTAAAGCTGTGACTAGCCAGCAAAGTGTCTTGACACTCACCATTAAGGCTGAGAGGCAGAACCTTCAGCACTGAATGGCATGTCAAAAATTACTGAAATTTTTATTTTTATTCTGAATATTGAGTTAGAACTGAAAAGCAGAAGTTGGTGCATAATTGTTATTTCATTCTTCAGTAGCATCAGATTTGAGTTGGAAATCTAAGCTTTATTTTATTTTTGTTTTTTTCCTGTGACTGTTGCAGGAGCTGTCATGGGTAACTGAAGTTTTACCGCCTTGATAAATATGTGCAGTTTGAATATCTACAGAATTTGTGTTTCAGTAATACAGTGAATTTTGAGTTGTTGATTAGTGAAATATCATTTAACCTACCTAATCTATAATGTTCCTTTTCAGTTATTTGCATGCCAAGTCAATCATCCACAGAGACCTCAAGAGTAATAGTATCCTTTCCCAGAGATGTGATTGTGGAACGTGACAGCATTCCTGTTTTTTTTTTTTTTTTCTGCGAGAAATGAACTTACTGATGTGAAAAGCTGTTCATATGTGAATATTTGCTGAGTTGAAATTTCTTTGAGAAGGGGTAATATCACTAGTAGCAAAGTAAGAAATACTTGCTATGTCTATTGATGGCATTGCAATAACGTAGCAAGTTTTGTCGTGGTATCACACAGATTTTTGCATCATTTGGTTTCTACATATAATGAAAGATTACGCCGGTTCACTCATGGAATATTTTCAGCTCCTCTTGTACTTGGCATTTCAAGAAAGTATTTGGCATTTCAAGAAAGCCACCTGGGCCGTGGTCTGTTCAGCACTGGCCCAGCCATTACTTATGTAACCCGTAAGTACCATAATTCACCATGCTGGCTGCTTAGAACCTGTATTACATGAAAACCTTCTTCAATAGTGGCAGATGGTTAAAACTGTTATGTCTAATGTTGCAGATTTGTAGCTGTTTATTGTTCTTGTAGGACAGGACCAGTACTGCTTGTTTGTTTTCCCTTAACATTTCCCCCTTAGATATTTTTCTTCATGAAGACCTCACAGTAAAAATAGGTGATTTTGGTCTAGCTACAGTGAAATCACGATGGAGCGGATCACATCAGTTTGAACAGTTGTCTGGATCTATTCTATGGATGGTAAGCAAGGGGGAAGTGGTGTGTTTGTTTCAAAAAAATCTAATTGCCTTTGGCCAAAGTTTCTAAGACTATCCCTCCAGCACACTGACATATACAAGCTGTCTTAAGCTGTAAAAGACAAGCAGTAATATGAAGTACTAAATGAATGCTCTTTGGTTCTTTAAGCATATGTTTTCAAGTAGTCAGCAAAAAAAATTTAGTGTCTTCATCCCTTATTCTGAGGTTTAAACTGAAAAGAAAACGGTGGCTAAGGAAAAAGGGTATGATTAATCCAGGGTTGAGGAGAACGTGAGAAAAGCCATGCAAAACATCCTGCAAAGGAGCAAAGAAACTAGCTCAGCTAAAAGTAAGATGCTCTTAGGTTTTAAGGATTCAAGCATGGTTACTCTCAATCGGTCGTACAACTTGCTCAAGTCTTAGTAAGAAGTATAGTTACAACCTTCTGTGCAACTCCACTTACTCCTTTTTCTCCCTGAAAAAACTGAAGGCTCTGCTAGTTGGCATTATTTTCAGTGTTGTTACAATTCTAGTTTCAAAATAACTTCTCGGCCTGGACAAGGTCATTTCGTTCTGTCGTAGAGGAATAAAGGGATCACCGAGCTAAAATGAATCAATGGATTTTGAGATTCATGTCAACATCCATTCTATATTAGGACCTGGTAACATCTGAAGGCAAGAGTGGGCTTTGCACCTGTTGTACTCTGGACAAGTCCATGTTTTGTTCCTGGTATGTGAGGTGCAGCCCGATGTGGTGAAATAAAAACTAATTCTTTTCTTTTGTGGTACAGGCACCAGAAGTTATTAGGATGCAAGATAAAAACCCATATAGCTTTCAGTCGGATGTGTATGCGTTTGGGATTGTTCTGTATGAATTGATGACTGGACAGTTACCATACTCAAACATCAACAACAGGGACCAGGTAAGGGAAGGGATTGACTTCAGTCAGCTGTGGCCTGAAACAGAGATTGATTCAGCCTTGTGAGGTGCACATTCTGATGTTTTGTGTGTTTGATTTGTGTTTCTGATTCTGATGTTATGAGGTTACATTTCTTCATTTTCTAGATCTGCCTCAGCCCCATAGTGCCAATTTACTTACTTCTCTTGAGGTGTTTTTTTTGTTCTTTTTTACATTAAGTATAGATTTTCAGCTTCTGAGCTGGTTGCCAGGATACTTATTAGGGAGAGAGCAGGTTACTTAATAGTAATCTAGTTTAGAATAGTTCTACAAAGGCAAAATGATCCTCCATATGTTCAGTTGTTCCTCTTTTTTTTCTTTTTCCCCTGCTCCCTTTGCATTGAATAATAGTTCAGCAACAGGATTGACAAAATGGAACAGCAATCATCTCGCTGAATGTTTTATATTCACTTCAATCTTGAGAAATGCATGCACCATCTAATTGAATTTCAGGATATCAGCATTTCTCAAATCCTGCTTGATGGAGTATATGACTTTCCAGAGTGTGTGAATCCTGTAAGAAGATTACTTAATTGTGAACAAATATTCCTCAAGTCTAATGATACCACACGCCTATTATATATCTCCACTGGATAAGCACGTTTGCGAAGGCATATCTGATTCATTATTTCTCTGTCTAATCTGAAAATAGTATCTATGCATCAAGATCTTTGGTGTAAACTATTCCATGTCTGGGCGGTGATATATTTATGTTGTATCAGTGTCCACATCCCTTGTTTTTTCACTGTCGGTACTTGAGAATTGCAACCATAGCAACGTTCATCTGTAAATGCCATTTTATAATGCTGCTTCCATATTTGTCAGACCACTTCATCCCAATTCATCAAATTTGGAGTGACTCCTTTTTTTTATTATTATTATTTTTATTTTTAATTTTTTTTTATTTTTGAAAGAAGGGAAGTGTCCACACTCCTGGCCAGATGGATATAGCCTTCTAAAAGCAGTATTCGGGCATTGTTTTTTACCTTTTGAGATTTGAAAGATGAACCCAGTGCTGTGGGTGCTCACAATTGAGTGCTGAAACAAATTTTAAATTGCAAATGAAGCCAACATATAAAAAGTGATCAACTGTGTTGAGTTTTGTCAGTCCCGGTCTATTGTCTGAAAAGATGTAAATATTGCTCACTCTGTGTTGGTGCATCTACATCAGCTATTATGACATAGCTAAGAATCTTAGTGAGCAAAGCATCGTTCTTGTTACACATCAGAGTGTTTCTCTCACCTTAACAGATTTTTCTAGACAGACTAGGTCTGTTCTTGTAGTGATATTCTCTTTTCCCTAGTTAAAATAAAAATTTAATCCCTGTATTATTTGTAAAGATAGTATTGGAAACATAAATAATAGAAAATTTTGAATAATTTCAACTTAAGTAGTGTAATTATTTAGAAAAGAGTAACTTCTAGATGATGATGGTAAGTCTCATTGCAGCAGAGGTAAGGGACAGGGTAGACAAGTCTTTACTATGAAATGCTGCTCTGGCACATGGGGATTTCTAAAGAAACCATATGGGAGTTTCTTACTCCTTCTTGATGCCAACACAGATGCGACTGAGTCGGAAAGTTGAAAAAGGACCAGGATTGTGTTAGTAAAAATAACGTGTACAGCTTGCTTGAGATGGGGGGTTTTTCTGTTGGGTTTTTTTGCCAGTGTCAGGGTATGGAACAGTGACACTTCATTAAATATGAGGTATGATACACCTGCTGGGTCTGTCTGAGTGTTCAGAAAAGGTAATGATTATCTGCTGCAGCATGAATGGATCTTTGATTAGCTAGTTTGAAAGGGCTTTTTAGTGTCAGCACAACTGCAGTACTCAAACGACATTGCATTTGACCTTGGCTTGACATGATGATGTTGGATTTTTTTTTTATATATATCCAAGAGAACATTAACCATATTTATGTTTTGCTTTCCTGCTTTCTATTAGTTTACTTTGTTTTATGCTTAAGTTTTATCCTTAGGTGAAATATAAGCCTTCCATGTTAAAGTAAAAATACAAAGCCTGTCTGTCTCCTCTTCTACAGAGGAGAGGCAGTTTCTCTTTTTCTTTTGTGTTTTTTTTTGGGGGGTGGGGAAAGTGGTCAGATACCAAGAATAAGCTTTTGTGGTGGAAAAGTACATGAAGGGATTTATTCTCGAAAGGTAAGGGTTTTTAATATCTGAAGTCCATGTGTTTCTTAAAATCCCTTTCAGTGTGAACTTGCTGTTGACTTATAATATAAAACAGAATATTTATTTTTACAGAATATTTATTTTTAGGCATTCTGTTCCTGCCACAGAGTTGCTTATTCTTGGTTTTGTAACAGTTTTTGACACCGAAGGACTGTTCCTTAGATGGTTATTGCTATAAATGGTAACCATTTACTAGTGTTCAAGTTTCATAGAGATGTCTCTTAGGAGGAGGAGGAAAAATCTAGTTTTTTCTCTGTACTGAATAGGTTAGCAAGCATTACTCTGAAGAAACTTGGCAATTTCAATACCAGATAATGTTTTTCCTGGGAGCAGAAAACTTGCTGCTGGGACTAAAATGGTCTAGCAAAATGTTCATCTTTTGTTACTGTTTGTTTTATGGGCTCATCTTCTTCCCCTTTCATCTTTTTTTGCCTTAAATAAAGATAATTTTTATGGTGGGACGAGGATACCTATCTCCAGACCTCAGCAAAGTACGGAGCAACTGTCCAAAAGCTATGAAGAGACTAATGGCAGAATGTTTAAAAAAGAAAAGAGATGAGAGACCCCTTTTTCCACAGGTGAGAAATGTTCCTCTTTAGTTCTCAGTAGACTTTACAATTCAAATATTAAAAATAAAGATCAGTTATGAACTCACTGGCCAGTTCAAAATTTTTTTTATTAGTGCTATAGCATGACTTCGTAAGAGCTACCTTGGTTAGTGCTGTTTAATTAGAAATGTTTATTTTCAATTCAAAAAGCAGGTATTAAAATGACTTGTGTAGTTGGAAAAGCATTTATGTGTTGGAGAAAGTTTGAACTGGGACACAGTGAAATTAATAATCGCAATTAGACAGACAAATTAGAACTTGCTGTGTGTGTTCTCAGAAATCTTTATACCCCCCTCCTTGCTCTCCCCCAAGCTTTATGAAGGGAAACGGGTAGTTTTGTCACAAAACTTGATTTATCATGCCTGCTGAGGGAGGTTTGGATTCTAAAAGCTGGGGGGGGATCTTTTTTTGTTGTTTTGAACGAAACCAAAGCGTTTTCAAAAAATAAGGAGCTCCCCCTGCTGGCTTTATGATAAATAGTATTAAGCAAACTGCTGCCGAAGCTGCGTTTATTTGCAGTGATGGTAGGTGTAGGTACTAGTGTATAAACAAGGAGGCAAATAAAGGGCAACTATATTCATTATGCTTACAGAGGGAAATCAGTATGCCCTTTTAAAGGGGAAAATGAGACAGTTTCCTCCCAAAATGTCCTTTTCAGCTTTTTGAGGATATAAACATCAGAGTGCAATGTAGTAATCTGTTTGTAAAAGTTTCTGCTTAAATTTGTGTATAAATATTTTTCTGTAGTTAATTGATGTTCTGCCTTTGGTTTTAAGAGACTGTTACAACTTTGGAACAACAGATTTGATCACTTATTTTCTACTTGTTTTAGATTCTTGCCTCCATTGAGCTTCTGGCCCGGTCATTGCCAAAAATTCACCGCAGTGCATCTGAGCCCTCATTAAACCGGGCTGGCTTCCAGACAGAGGATTTTAGTCTATATGCTTGTGCTTCTCCAAAAACACCTATCCAAGCAGGGGGATACGGTGGGTTTCCAGTACACTGAAAAGAAATGTGAAAGCATGTGCCTGTGTGTCTGTGTGCTGGTGTGTTCCTGTGTGTGCAACACACGTGTACGTTCTCAGTTCCTACCAGCTATGTTTTTAAGGTTTATTGAGGGAACGAAGACTCATTTCCTAACACTGGGCATTGAAGTCCCGAGCACAAAGTCTTTGTTGGTAAGGAGTGCCCTGGGAACAGCTGGCACAAGAAGAATTGTAAGGTCACATAAGAGAAGTGGGAAAAGTCACTTCAAAACAAGCAAAAATCCTCTTGAGGTCATTGGGTGTCATTTTTCTTGCCTGTGTCATTTTTGCCTAGTTTATTGATTGGATTTAGTTACTCAGGAGTGTATTTGATTTTAGTCTACTCAAGCTGTGGTGGTTTGTTGGTTTTTTTTTTTTTTTCTTCAGTTGAGGTCATTATATTTGAGCAATAGGCTTTAGATTCCTCAGTTAGTACTGCTACTCATATGTGGGAAACAATTGGAAAAATAAACTTAGCTTCAAGGCTGAGCACAGTCAAAACTTCTTGTGGTCAGTAGAAGTGAGCAGATAGAACACAGAATCCAAAGAAAGATCTTAGTGACGTGTGACTCTTATTTTGAAAGTTGAAGTTTAAAATAGTGCTGCTTAGAGAACATCTCCTCCTGCAGAGGAGTGGTGGCATGGGGTTTTTTTTACTTTTTATTTTTGCCTAAATACTCTGACCTGCTATAGTTTAGACCATCTGAAAATGTTCTGTTACAATGCAACATAGAAGAAATTCTGAATCTGCTTTTGCTGAACTGCAAGAATATTGATGGTAATGGTGCCTTCAATCAGCACAGATTTCCAAATTAAAAAAACATTTTAAATCTCGAGCATAACCAAATACTTTAAGAGAAAAAGGCTGCTAACACCCATAACAGGAAAAGAGGATCTGAAAAAGTAATTGTTTTCATGGAAATCAGTATTATACCATGAATTCTGTTAAGATGAAATGTTTTAATTACTTTAATATTGTTAAGAATACACTGAACATGCTTCTGTTCAGTGACAAATTGTTTTTTTCACTTCCATATAAAAGCTGCTAGTTTGACTAGAAGTGAATCAGTTAGACTATATATCTAACTGAGAAAGCTAGAGACCTTACCAAGATCCTGTCAGCTCACTTTAAAGATTGTATTTTTCTCTGGAACAGGTGAATCAGAGTAGTGGTTCAGGTTATATCAGTCTTTGATGTCAGATATGAAAACAATAATGTTATTGACTGTGTTTTTGCATATTTTGAAATTAATTATGTGGTTTTGTTTGTTTTAAACTGCTAAGCTATTAATTTTCACAGATTATTCTGCATCGAAAACAAGCTATTGCTGTTCTTGTTAGGACTTCAAGGGCCAGGAGTGTTTTTAATGGCTTCTGATTTGCATACTTACAGAGAAGTTTGCATGTTGCTAGCAATAGGTTTTTGAAATAGATCAGGAATTCAAAAAAGGTTTTCTTTTCTGCTGTCTGGCAACTGAGCATTTTAAAACAGGAGGCAGAGTTAGAGAGCTTGAAGACATGTAGGCAATTTCTACATTTTCTGGCCGGATTCTAATGGTCTTTTTGGCTTCTGCTGTTGGAACAGTTTGGGAACTAGCTTTTCTCTTCTCATTTTGTTAGTCAAGAAAATTCAGCTGTTGAAATCTATCTCTATGGAAATAGTTATGGAGGACGAAAGTTGTAATTGTTTTAGAAAATCTGTTTCCCATCTTTCTGGTAGCTTCACCTCGTTTTGACAGGCTTATCTTAAAATGAAAACAGGATTTAAGTGGTTTTTTCCCCTCTTGCTCTTTTTTTTTTTTTAATTCTAGACAGTGAGAAGGAATACTTCTTAAGCGTTGGGGTATGATATTCAGTACAGGCTACAATGCCCATCTCAGTAAGAGCAAGAGGATTCTGCTGGGTCTCCTGCAGAATCTAGAAATGCGCTATCCCAGGCGGAAAAGGCTTAACCGCACAGGGAGTTACCGAGAGTGCAGAACCATTGTCACTGCCCTGCCCAGGCTTGCTCTTTTTCAGGTTTGCCAGATCAGTTCACACAAGTTATTTCTTGGAGTAGTGTTATCCTCCTTGTTGTTAAGATTGTTCTTCTGCGCTGTAGGAACTACAACTATGGGGGGGGAAAAATGCTGACATCCTTAGACGCATTTGGCCCCATTTCCTGCTGTATGGTCAGTGCATGAGACTTCTTCCTGTGTCACCTGTTCGTGCACGTCGAGCACGGTTTGGGATCCATGACCATAAAGTGATCTTAGCTTCTCACTAAACATTTTGTGAAGCCTAAAAGGAGGCTGGTTTTTGTGGATCATTAACTTTATCTGACATAAAGGCATTTAGCGGTTTAACTTCTGTAGTTTGTAATTGCTGCTTCAGTGAGATTTGGGAACATATGTAGGATGAAGATGCCGAAATACACCTGTGGATTTGGGTCAGTGTTCTCAAAGATGCAACTCAGCTATATTGTTTAGAAACAGATACCTATCGGTCCTGAAAACAGGTCTGTAGGATCCCAGGCTTTTCTGGAGGGGTAGTTTATACTATGTGAGATTCCTTTTTCCTTTACTTCCTTGCATCTCAGTATAGAAACAAAATCTGTCTTGGTACCTTCTAGAAGGACCAGACCCTGATAAACGCTGCTGTATATTTTTCTAAGGATACTAATTATCCACATCAGTGTATGTTTCAGATCTTTATTTAGCCAGTGGATGGTGTCCATACTAGAAGATCAGCCCAAGATCCAACAGAAAACTGCCTCTTTGTCATATTTTTTTCCGTGTCTGTGAATGTAATCCAGGCAAGGTATTGGGATTTGGTTTTTCCCTTTGATAAGTCAGTTACTCTACTTCAGTAGACAAGGCTGGTACAGCCCTGGAAGGGAACCATTCTTCTCCTTACGATTCTTCTGAGAAACACAGCATCTACCCCAGGATAAGGAGTACAGTTAAGATGTTGTGTATATACCTTAGTAACCTCATGAAGCCAGATAACTTATAAATTTGTGAGAGTAGAGATTGGTAACTGCATCTTAAATCCTTCCAGGAATCAGGGGCAGCAGGTTGACTCAGAACATACCCTTACAATATATTGTTTGGACACAACATGAAAGAACTTGATCATCTTTTTGGTACAGATTTTTTGAAAAGTGTGCATTTAAAATAGTTTCCACTTGCTTTGCATGTGAGGAGCATGAAAAGACTGTAGCAACTAACTTGAAAGGGCTCTGCAAGAAGTGCGTCTTCAGAATAGAAAGGGTGACATAAAGCGTTTTAGCTGCTACTCAGAAAGTCCTGTCGACACCTAGCAGGATGGGGGATTCCTGTACGTGGATAGGTATAGCCATCTACATTCCTCATCTAGGGAAAGCTGTTATTGGTAACCGCATTTTATACATGTTCAAGCAACATAATCCCATTATTAGATGAACATGTTACCTATTTTGGTCTCCTATTGATTTGAGATTGGATTAGCACCTGAATTTTGAAAGGGGAGATTTAGCATTAGCTTGTCAAAAAAAAGTCTTTGCTAAGGTTTTATTTAAATGGAAGAAAAGTCTGAAAATTGCCTTTTTATAGCTACCATTGTATCTGAAATGTTTGACTTCTGATCCTGTTTTTCCGTTGCCCTCCCCAATTAATCATGCATCTTTTATCTTCTGAAATCCCTGTAAGACTATTAAAAGCTGAATTATTACCAGAAATGGGCAGAAGGACAAGATGAGTAATGAGGGAGCAATCTCTTGTTTATAAATTGATCTTTAATCAGCAGTTTAGGAAAGCAGGCTGAAAAATAAATTAAGTAGAGCATGTTTTGAAAGTGTAGCTAAGCACGTATGTCATTCTTAAAAATTAGCCTCACAGGCAATACTTGATGACTTTTTTTGTCCTTCTTCTCTTAAAAGAAAAAAAAATGGGGGGGAAGTACAAAAATTGAGATGTTTCTAGAAGATACTGTGAAGAGTTGGGAGATCGGTGAAATGTGCCAGAGACAAGCAAGAAAAACTATCAAATATTCAGAGTATTTTAGAGCAAGGGTTTTATCTGTTGGTAGAACTAGTAAAACAGGCAATTAGACCCATTGTGAGGCTTTTATTCTTCTGTTTTTATAACTTAAAACTACCACCACAGTCTATCAAGACGCAGAGCTTGAGGTCTGTCATAGCCCCCTGTACCAGCAACCCTTATTTTAAACCTTGGGTGCACTCCATTCTCATTTCCTACAATGCACAGAGCCTTCTCTCCCTGCTTTCTTCATGTTCCCTTAGATCAGCTGTATCAGCTGTTGCTATCAGGCCCTGTAGATGTCCTTTCTTCCCCCTCCCCGTGCAGACAGCTAATCATTTTCTTGGTTCCCTTCTTTATAGAGCAAGACATTCCACAGAATTAATGCTACCAGTCTAAAATTCTGTTTGCAGGGATATTTCCGGTTTGTTTCCAATATTCAGAATAAGAATCTTAAAAACCAAAACCAACAAAACACTCTTGGAAGGATGGAAGGACACCGAGATAAGGAGCAATTTTTTGGATGTAATGGTATTAACACACTTCTGTCAAACAGAACAAAAGGTCTCTTCTCTCTGCTTATCAGTCCTTCATTTTTAGGAGAGCTCTGAGGAGTGGTCTCAAGAAACGAACCCAAAATTCATGTAGAGCCCAACAATGGGAAGTAATATGTACATTTCTTTTTCTCTTGCTCCTGAGTCCTTTTGGTTAAGCATAGTTGGACAACCCTCCTAAAAATCCTATAGAATACAATTTGTGGGTGGCAGGGAAATTTTTTTGCTAAAGTATAAGATTAAGAGGATGAGTATCTTGGTTTCGGCTTCTATTCAGTTCTCTGGCAAACTTCTTAAGACTTTGGGCAGTGATGTTAACTCTGTGCCATAGTTTCATCATCTCCAAAATGGGACTACGAGTCTATCTCACGGCATGCTGACACTAAATAAACTATGTAGAATTTCAGGAGATCATTGCATGTGAAAGCATTGCCTAGAATTATTGTTTATTCAGCAATTCTGAAGGAAGCATAGGATTGCTTTATTTGTTGTGCTTGCTATTAGCGAGGCCTAATTTCTGATCTGGGTGTGAGTAGACAATCTCACCATTCTTATTTTTCTCACAGTAGGTTGCTACGTTGGTCTCTAAACCAGATCCTAGGATTCTTTAATATTGGTTTAATGTTCAGGCACTTTACTGTATATAGTCTTTAAAGGTTAACAGGTGTGTCAAATAGTTCTCTGTTATTAAACCAGTTTTACACCAGAATAGAAATTAGTTTGCAGTCTGATGCATTTATTGCAATTGTTGCTTTTCAGGAGGATATATGTGCAATAAGGAGTTTAAAGTGAAATTAAACTGATACATTTTATTTTCAAATGCATGATGAATTAGGCTTTGCTTGAACTTTCAGACCTCTGTCTTGGGAAGAATGGGTACAGCTTGCTTTCAAGAAATTCTTTTTCGGTAAAATACGCTGGGTCTGTATTTAATGTTCTCCCACTATGTATTCTTTTGTGCTTTAATTTTAACAGTTTGCATTTTTTAACATCTTTTATGTTCAACCTAATGTTCAACTAGTCTGGAGAAAATCTCTGACCACCTAGTAACTGAAATCACCTTTTTAAACCAAGCTCTTGTCCTCCCTCTACAGGAGAATTTGCAGCGTTCAAGTAGCCACAGCACCATGGCAGCACCCACTCTGTTATTTAAGTCTTGTGTTCCTACAGTTTCTTAACATCAAAACTCTATTCTGCTCCACAAAACCTAAAGTAATTTAGAAAAGATATCCATAAGCTTAAAAATGGAGCAGAATGGAACTGCCAGTCCAACACAATGGGAAAAAGTACCTTTTTGGGAACCAGAATCCTCTGCTGCCAGTGTTTCTCCTTCAACACAAACCACCACGTGCATTCGGAGACCCGCAGTGGCTGCCTGTGCCGTTGGCATCATTCCCAGGAGAGAGGAGAGGGCGCTCGTGGTTTGACTGTGGTGCTCGGGCATGAGGGGATGGAACTGCTGCTGCAACTTAGGAGACTTGCTTTGGATGGTCTGCCGGTCGGCTTTCTCCCTCTAACAATGTACCATCAGAGGCTGAAAATCTGATGAGTGCTAACTGAAAAGAATCATCCTCCATTCTGATCTTCTTTTTCCTGGTGTACTCACTGATTTGTGGACAATGCAGTATCCCCTTTTCACTGTATCACAATGTCAAACACCTAAATCTGCCTATATTATTGGGTTTCATTCCAGTAAAATTAGAAGTGTGGGGTGATGGGAGCTGGAGAAGAGGTAAAGGCGAAGAGGTTAATCTGAAGGAAAAGGGGATGCTGCTGCACCTTTTTTCAGATTTACTTTATCACTTCTTCAAAAAACAAACAACAACCACCAACCTTAACCTTTTTCCTTTTCCAGTATTTTCTTGGTGTGTGCATATACATCTTTTAGAAGGATTAGGTAGATCCTTCTTTTGTTGGTCCAGCAACAAACTGAAGTTTAAAAAAAAAAAAATGTAGCGAGATTGTCCTCTCTTTTTTTTTTTTCTTTTGTATCATATGATACAATGTATTTATCAAAGATGCTACCACAGCATCTGAAGTCTGTAGAATTCCTGATACAGACTGTGAATGGTGTATGTACCTACTTTAAAAGTTTTATTTTAAACGAGGGTGCAGGTTAATGCCAGGTACCTTACCAATATGTAATGTTTTCATAAACGGGGAAAAAAGTTCTCAGGTTGAATTGAATACAAATACAAAACTCCCTAGAATTAGACATTCCGAAAATTATGTTTTGGTACTTTCAAGAGCTTTTTTTAAAGGATTTTTATCCTGTTAACTAAACATCCTCTGATAAGTGTGTGTACAAACGTGGAGCATCTTGTCCTAATGGCAAGTTGTTAAATCAAAACAAAACGGTACTTGCTGGATCCACGCTGACTACTTCTCCTCTCATTGCTTTCTTCCCTGTCATCTCTTCCTTCCGTTTGTCTTTCCCTTTTGTACACTTTGCAAACTGGGGTGAAGGTGGCGGTATCTCCATTAGAGTGCTTTGTTTTCCTGTCCTCCAGTCCTGGTTTTCAAATGGTTGGTAGCTTTTTGACAAGTTACCCCATCAGGGAAAAAACAACTCATAAAGTTCTGCACATTGTTTACCTCTAGTAGAATATCTTGTGATGTGATCTGTTTGCAGAGTTCTCTGGTATGTGGTATTACATGTAAATTATTTGTACAGAGGCAAGTCAGACCACATTAGAAAGAAATTCAAGCTCAGACAGAAGTTTTCAGAATTTGATTCGTATCTGCCCTGTACCGCTCCAGGTGAGGCAGGAGAACCAACCCTCCTCTAGCAGGGAGGTTCTTGCTGGGGGGGAGGTGGGGGGTATTAAGCAAAATCACGACAAATAAATGAAGGAGTTAAATGTGTGTGAATGTGGTGTCCGTGCTAAACATGGATGTATTGGGTGAGGACACTGTCCTTCCCTCCGTGGGAGAGTTGGACTGTTTCTGTCTGCAGAAGGTTGCTCCCAGGCGAAGGGAGAAATGCACATCAGTAGTGGAACGTGCTTTTAAAACCCTGGAGTTCTGCAGTGTTGCTGGTAGTCTGTTAACATTTGTCAGTAAATATTTACTGGGGTTATAGGGACCGGACTAACCTGAAGTGGGAATTATAACTGAAATACTGTGTATTCATATTAATTCCACAAACATTAGCGAGACAGCAATAGTGAATGACTTAATAGTCACTACAAGAATGAAGTGATTCATGTTGGTACATGAATAGAATTGATTTTGTGTACAGGATGCATTTTAAAAACAAAACAAAAAAAAGCACAAATTTTTTCTTGTCTGCTGTGGGTCTTCAGATGCTGTAAGGTTTTTTTCCTTATTGAGATTGGCAGGAATTTAAATAGTAGCAATAGCCACTTTCCAGTGTGGAGAAGCTAATGAGCGAGCGGTGGTGTGCAGACCGGTGAAATCAGTGCTCCCTGGTGATCATCTGAGGCCAATACCTAAGAGGTGGAAGGAGCCTGGGGCCACTGGGGTCAGCAGACGGGTGAGAGCATTTACAGATACAGACTCCCAGAGGGTGAAGCAGTCACTGCTCATTATCCTTCCGCCCCGCGCATTGCTCCAGCCCCTTGTATGGGCTGTGGCCTAATTTGTACATGTCGGGCATACTGGAAATTAATGTTCTCTCGAAAGAAACTGTTACCGGAGCAAGTATGTACAGGTGGTTCAACAGTCTTTTGTTTCACAGAGCTTGTTAAAAGCCCTAGTTTCCTTCCACAAGGTCATGCTGGCAGAAGATTGCCTGCTAAAATATAACTGTTAGGAATTTCATTCTATCTTTGCTTAAAATGAACTTATTTTTGTGAAGATTCATTACCCATTAGTCTACAATATGCTTCTTGAGCCCATAGGAAAAGCACAAGGAAAATTGCTATCCTTGTCCATGCAAAGCACTTTATAAGTAACACATGATCTCTGGGTTTTTTTTATTGGGGTTTGTTTGTTTGTTTGTAGTTTTGTTTTTCCGTTTTGTTTTTTTTTCCCTGAGGAATGTGCAAGTTGTTTGGCTGCTGTTTAGAGAAGTCCTTTCAGGATGCATTTCTACTGGTTTTTACGTCTCTTTGTTTCCTTCCAGATAGCTGTAGTAATGTGTGTTTGTCTGTAAGAGGTCCCACGTAATACTCATGCAAAACTTTCGAAGAAATTTGGTTTGTAAATAATTGGGATGATTATTTTTTTTTCTCTTTTCCTTCTGGAGTTTTTCTGGATGTCTTGCATGCCATCAGAACCAGTCTTAAAGGTGCCCTGTAGATGTTTAGTGAATGGGGAGATAAGAGTAGACAGGAACTGAGTGCCCTGTATAGCAGTGGGACGAAGGAAGTAAACTGAAATGACCGATACATTCATGTCCGTTACACCAAATTTCTTAAGCTTCTTTGTGGAGTCCCAACCACAAGCACATGCTGTAGGGTGGAAATGTTAGTACATATTTTGTGTGCGCGTGTTGGGACAAACATCTAGATGGTCATACTGCTTTTAGCTCTACAATATCTAGTATCTAACAATTATTTGCAAAACTACCAGTATCCAATCCCAGTTATTCATGTCTTTATTAACCACACATATACCTTCCCCTCTGCCTTTCCTTTTCCACACAGTTAGAAGAGGCCTGTTATCTGTTACATCTTCCCTATCAGTACATGATTGTTTCCTGCGGCGTATTTGCTGGAACTGGAACATTGTAGTGGAGCTTAAATCAAGTGGTAGGAGTATAGAGGCCTGGTTATTTTGAAAGTAATTTCTGCATGAATTAAGTCCTACATGGCCCCAGATACAATTAGCCCAGTCATTTATTTTTTGCTGTACTCAGGCAGGTCATTAAATGAATCCAATTCTGCTTTTTATGCTTACCTAAAATCATCTTTTCTTGTACTTGAATGCTCTAGCAGCTGATGATGATGCAGAATGTTTGAGGCCAAATACTGCCATCTTATCGTGGCCTCTCAACATCACTTGGATTAATATGCGCTCATTAGAGGCAGAATTTGGCCTTCATGACATAAAATGAGTGAAATGCTGACTATTGGTAAATACTAGGAAGAAAATTAACTCTTATCTCAGCCGAAACCAGGACACACGTCTTTCCACAAACGCCCAAATCGGGGGAAAAAATACACTGAAGATCACGCATAAATAGGTTTGCTTCTGTGTTTGCCTGGTGATATAAATGCATCCAGCATTTTAAAGAACATTTGGGGAAGCCAGACCCGCAGAAACCTCACAAGTAAGTACAAGTTGAAGTTTTGATAGCTGGAGGGGCTAAATTTAGGGAAGAAGCGTGTGGACATTTCACACTTCTGCAGCCTATAGATTTCATTCCCTTCTTGACTGTGAGTGCAGCATGTGTAGCACAAACTATTCATAGTACTGTAGACAACGTGTCTTCTGTCTGTTGTAAAAAAGTATCACCAGTAGCACAATGCAACAGGCAAAGCTTCTAGGTACAGTCAAGTTCAGTTAAAAAGCAGTTGCACGAGTGGACTGTTACGGCATCACTTCGAAGGTGCTGGGTGTTCTGGTTTTCTGTTACGCATTTTACATAGAAGTTTATGACACAAACTTTCTGTTTACTGCAGCCTTGTTAATATGCGTTTGCACTTCGTATTTGTTTTGGCATGCGTTTTAAATAGCTTTCTTCATTGCTTCATTACTTCTTACCTAGTAAATAAAATTATCAGAAGAGCAGAGCAGAAATAAGTTATTAAAACTTTTCCTTTGCATTTAAGTTTCAAGGATGCTAACACAGAAGCTACTAAGTCAGCATCGTGACAGCAGTAAATAACTACGAAACTGTAGAAGGAGGAAATTTTAAAAACTGCAGAATATAGAGTACACCAAGAATTCAGATGAAAACTAGCGTATCTCTTTTCTTTAGAAAAGAGAGCTACCAAGACCCTCCGTTAAATGGTTTACACAGGGATCCCCCAAAACAGTCTTTGCAGTTTGCCAAATGATCACGTGCCTTCGCAACCTTAAAAAGTACAACAGAATGTAAACCAGGTGCTTTGTAACTAGAGCAGTGGCTTTGGTTTACTTCTGATGCAGTAGTTTTGTATATAGCTATTCCTGTAGATAGGTAGTTTCAAGCTGGTAGACTTCTGTAAAGGAGCAAGGAGGGCAGAGAGCATTCCCCAAAATACCTATGATCATTTCAAAGCTAGGCACTGAAGGATACCTAATTCAGTTACAGTAAACCTGCTGCTTGAAATCTGCTCTATCGAAAGTTAAATGAGGGTCATTTAATTTAAAAATAAATAATCCCTCCTTCCCCTCCAAAGACACAAAGATCTTGTTAAAGGTAACAGAAAGCTCTGAAGAGGCCCAAAGTTACACTGTCATAGATAGCATCTTGGAATGAGATGGTAGATGAAAAATGAAAGCTAGATGAGGGGAAATTGATGGCTAGTACTCATGTAATCAAAGTCCACATATATCAGACCATACAATTAATTCCTTGGCCCAGAAAGCACAATTAATTTTGTTTTCTGGAGTATCAGCAGGTTTCCTTAGTTCTTCCTTGGGCCTCTTGCGGTTACTCTTCAGTGATCGCATACCGTTACTGCACGTCAACCGTGGGTGATGGTAGGTGTCTTGTCAGTTGAGGGCAACCAGTATGTTTGAATTTGATTTGTTCCAAATTTCAAACCGGTTACATAGACTTCTGGCAGTACCTACATACCAGTGTCATATTTAACCTACTTGTCCATAAAGGACAAAATAATGGGTTTTGGTATTAGTGCTTTTTCAGATCTTTTCCTTTTCTTCTTTGGGGCAAGACTTTGGG